TAATAGCTAAAATTGGAAGGCTCACTAGCTGCAAGGATTCATTTAGAACATTAAAGATTTTGACCTTACCATCTGTATATATACTCAATATACTTATCCTTGCTAAAACACAATTGAGCAAGTTCAATTCTGTAGGCACTGGTGCTTACTTTACAAGAAACAGTCAAGTATTTTAGGTGTCGTCGCATAGATTGGCAAGAACGGAGGACAGCCCTAGATACATGGCTATTAAGTTTTTCAACAGACTCCCCAACAATTTGAAATCACAACCACTGAACACTTTTAAAAGAACAGTTAAACATTTATTACTGGAGGAAGCTTTTTACTCTATTGAGGAATTCTTTATGTGTAAATGTCTTGTTTGATTTTGATCATTGTTGTTTGAATGTCAATGGTTTGTCCTTTATTTCGCTTTTTTATATATACATATATGTTTCATATTTATAAATTATATCTATACGCTAATTTGATTTATCTGTATTCATATTTGGAATATGCCATATGGGGTACGAATATGTGTGCGTCCACACTAACGTGATTTGTTATTAGCTTTTGTAGTACTCTGACTGACTTATCCTATATCACATCTGTGATCATACAGGACAAATAAATTATTATTATTATTATTATTATTATTATTATATATATATATATTTATCTCTCTCCCAGATGACAGTCCGTTTATTTTTTCCGTTACTAGATAGTGTGTTGCAATAACAGCCTGAAGGTTGTTATACAATGCCGATCATTGTAAAACTGCACTGCGGGAAAACAGTAAAATCCAGGGCCGCCTATGTCAGGTATTTGGATGTACCACACCCCAAATCCCAAAAGCGCAAAACAACCCAGAACTATTGTCGGCACATCCCGATTGGCTGTTATTCAGTCTTGGACTCTTAATGCTCTGCATCGTTTATGCATCTCAAATAGCGACTCATCAAGTCAAATAGCTTTAAATTCTATAAACTACTTGACAATAAAGTTACTTAAAACGTAATGCCTGATCGACTTTTTTTTATTGTTCTAGTTGACTTTAGGTCAATCATTTTCAAGCTACGTGATGGCAAATTTTATTTTTTTCTTCTACAAGTTTGGTGGTAATGATGATTCTACGATCAAATACGATACCTTGAGCTCAATCTTAATAAAACACTAAACACGGATGACCTCATTAAAGAAACGATGTTTCTATAGAAGTGAAATTCAAAATAACTGGATGGTTTCTAAATGAATTATAACGATAATGCTTCACTCGACTTGGTTTTTCTGTTGTTCTACTTGAGTTGAGGTCAACCATTTTCAAACTAATTGATACTTGATGGCAAGTTATATTTTTGTTATACTAAGGATCTCGTAGGAAATCGAGCCTCCAAAATTTCCACGAGCCATCTCAAATAATGCATGCAAACAGCGTTGACAAACTAAAAAACACGAAATCGGTAGATAGTGTGGTTGAGATTTGATAGATTCAAGATAGGAACAGAAAATCGGCGCCGGTGCAAGATCGGCGGCAGATCAAGGGGTTTCGAACCACAAATGGCCATTTATGAATAGTACATTTTCCTATAGCGCTATAATTACGAAAACAAACTCAAGCTTCTTATTATTCAAAAAAAGAAAAATAAAAACGAAACAACTATTTTAGTTGTACATATTTTTTTAAAAGAACAAAATATAATCACCACACATCTTTAGCTATTATACATGTTACATAACAGGTACAATTTGAAAATAATTATTGTGATATAGGGGTTCAAAATCCATTCAGTTATCACTTCTAATATTTTTAACTTTACCAACAGGATAAATTCCTTAGAACCCTCATGCGTCTTAACTGGTGGTTAGCGAATTTAAGCTGATTTAAGTATTTCATTCTCCTGCATCAGCTGATGAAATAATGTTTTTTCTTCTTCTTAAGCTTACAGTTTTATTGTGCTTACTACGATACGATGAACAAATCATTTTCTCTGTAATTTGAGACAAAGTCCTTCAGTTGGGTATTTATAATCTGCTCCTATTTGTAGTACAAACATTATGGCGCGATATCAAGACTTGAATTTTCAGGATCTTGAGAGACATGCTTTTTCAGGTCAAGTAGCTTGAAAATCAAGCCAAGTCGTGAATCCCTAATCTAAAATGCGAGAAAGAATACTTTGCCTCGTCAAGGGCGCCATTTTGCTTGCCTTAGGGCCTTATCGTCACAATTGTAGGACGCCTTTATGGCCTCCTTGATTTCCATAGTATTTTCTTTCCTTGAGAATGGCTGAAGTATTTCTAGGTTTCTACTGTTCCATGTCAGCGTCAGCGCTCTTCTATAATGAGTCTGTTTTCTTTTTGAATTGTAGTAAATTTCGGGCTGATATAACATATTATATAAGTCAAAGGTATGAACGATTTGATGCAAATTGATATTTGTAACATAACCTGAAAATAGAGCGCTGATACGGTAGGGTAGAAAACTATGAAAATCAAGGAGGCCATAAAGGCGACCGTAGGAATGACTGACTATAGTCAACGCCAAACAAAGTGGCGTGCACGTCATCAAGGTGGGTGTGTTGAAAAATTTACATTGTTGCCAAACTTTTTGTAAAATAATAAAATTTATTATTTACATATCTAGGTTTATAAGCAATATTAACCTCAAATGAGAACAAAAATAATAGTATAATAAAATTATAGATCTGTACTTGCATAATCATTAAGTATGACATTTATTGATCAGATGACACTACGAAACTACCATATTTAATTGATAGCTTAAAGGTACTGAATAAAAATCCAAATGGGGTCCTCCAAATTTTATGCATGGTATTTATTTTACAGAATTCATACAGAAAAATGCATTCTAAAATTAGGTAAGCTACTGGTGTAAGCTTTTTCTGTACAATAAAGTTAGTCGGAGTTTCTTTCTTCAGCGCTGTCTGAATCTGAATCTTCATCACTCTCAAAGTTGATTATTAAAGGTTCGATGTCTGGTCGATCAAAAATTCGTTCTCTTTCATACCATTTAAAAATTTCTTGCTCAGTATGTCGAACACTATTTTTCCACATGTCTGGGGTAACCGTTTGTAGAGCCTCGTTCCACATATCCAAACAGTCTTTTTCACTGTTACCATCTCTACCAATATGTCTGTTATAGTAACCTTTTGCTATGCCCCAAATTAACTCAATAGGGTTAAATATACAATGGTAAGGAGGCAGACGAAGAACTTTGTGCCCATGTTGTTCCGCCAATTCATCAATCACGTATATTTTAGGTGGTTTGTTTCTAAAAAAGCAGTTATTTTAAGAATAGGAATAAACAAAAGAAATATAAACTGTCGACCAAAATATATATAATTAAGAAGCATTATGTACCGAGCAACAATACTCAATAGCTCTGTTTTAAACATTGTGTTTAAAAATGGTATGTTTTGATTTGTCAACCAGTCTTGGATATTTTTTTTGTCCATGCATTGTTGGGCACTTTGTTCAATATCATGCTGTGATAAGGGGCGTTATCCAGTATAATCATAGATGTACTCTCCAATTTTTCTAATAACTGATGTTGAAACCATTTCAAAAAATTGTCCTGGTGCATCTCTCCATGGTAATCGCTCAATTTTGTTTTCGAAGAAAATATCGCTTCACTACCCTCAATAAACCCATTTTCATTTCCAGCATGTAATATAATGTATCTAAAATATATTGTATTTAAATTTTATAGTGCAAATTGTGTAAAAGTACATACCTTTTACCATCTGTTTTAATAGCTTTCACGCTTTTTTGGTTTCCATTTTGCCAAGAGCGACCTATGGTCCCATTTTGAAATATCCAAGTTTCATCGAGGAAGACAAACTGGTATAAGGCCTCAACCTTGGCTTGATTGTATTGCCTTAGAAATTCCACCCTTTTCAAAGCTATACTTGGTAGTTCCATGAGCCCTCGTCGCGGATTGTCCTTAAGCCACTTAAATCCAAGATCTCTAAGCAACCGCCTTAAAGACGTGGCACTACCATCAAATAATGCCCTATCTCTTAATCGGGACCATAAAGTTTGTATCGTAACTTGTTCTTCTGAAACCATGTGTAATATGACATTATAATTTAGTTAACAAATTAATGCAAATTTCTGATAAGTTATTATAATAAGATCTTACTTTTGTGATACATATTATAGATCACTTCTCGAATGGCACTTGTATCCAATGTCGCTGTGTTGGTTACACGTTTAATATAACTCCGCTTTTTCTTGGGCGATTCTAAATTTGCATCACTTTTCACACCCTCGGAAATACGACTAACTGTCCTTAAACTAATTTTTAAAGCAGCAGCAACACGCTACAAAAAATGAAATAAAATTTCACTATTATTAATATACATTACATATAATTATTAGTAACCTACCTCTTGAACAGCATTTAAAGGCAACAAAGGCCCGTTGTTGTCCCTTTCTTGCTCAAAGTAGTGCATTAACGAGGCCACGAGTTCCTTACACCGACTATTTAACTGTTTGGGCATCTTTATATACCAAAATTGCCTTTATCTACTCGTAAAATGAATAATTTTGTTTTGAAACAAACAGTTGTTGATTTACAGTATGCGGGGCCAAAGGATTTATAAAGATTTGAAATGCCACAAATTGATTTAGTGTCAAAATTAATACAAATGTCAGTTCCCAGTTTAAATAAGTTTCAAGGTGACAATGTGTCAACGCTGCGAAATCGGTTTAGTGCGTTTACATGTCGATAAGTGATTGGAGCGTTTGCAAAACATTTTATTTCGCATAATGCGTCTAAATTTATCAGAAAGCAACTTATGTGATATTTTAATAACAATGTTTATATGACTATTAACCGTAATAAGAGAGTAATGACCATTTTACAATTTATATATCACATTAATATGAAACTGCAATAGAGCAATTGTTTGTGATAGAAACCTAGGCATTAGGTCGGGGAATTTTTATCGTGATGACGTGCACGCCACTTTGTTTGGCGTTGACTATATACGACGCTTAGAAGGTAAACAATTTTAAATAGAACGGTTCGGCCTCAAGGTGGCAAAGCAAAAGATCTGCGAATTTGGGGTCCAATAACTTTCTCTCAGTGTAACCGAATTTTTGTCACCTACTTATATCCGATCAAGGTATGAGATAAGATCAAAAGCAAACATCATGAAGTGAACAAGGTGAAGATAATGATGTGATAATGGATGAGTTTTCGTTTATGGACTTTGATTTGCTGGAGGTGGCTCGAAACAGTTGTTTCTCTGTGGTAGATCTGGCTCTGGAAAACCTGGAGCTTTATGATTTTAGTGTCGACTCGCAGGACGAGAATGGGAACACTTTGCTACATTACGCTGCTGCTACAGGTAAACTACTGTTAAATCAGGCTAGCTATACAAGCCTGTTTTATAAAAATACGTATTTACGGATTTTACAACGGACCTATGTTCCTAATGGTAAATGAAGAGTTTTCTGGAAGACTGGAAGTGTTTTATCGAACTTCAGTTAATGCTGTAGAAATTATTAATGACTGTTGAAACATATTTTGTGGTATATGCGGAAGCGTTTAAGGTACGGATGACTGTGGAATTCAAGGGTTTTGATTTTTAATAGTTATATTCATGTTTTGGCGAAAGTAGGCAGCATTTTGGGCTACTTACTAGACATTGTTTTAAACGTAGGTAAAAAATGTATAATATACGTTAATGGCCCTATTATGTGCCAGATACTAATGATTTGAATGTAATAATATACTTTTGGTTTATATACTGAAAAACAGATACAATTCCAAACTGCACAGCCTCACATAACCTCAAATATAGCAGCGCGCGGTGAGCGCCACTCGAAGGGCAGGAAATTCCAGAATAAAAACACAGCTTCTACGTGTGTAAATGCTTATTAGTACGCATAATTACATATTTCTTTTCTCGATATTCACGATACAGCTCAACATTTAAGTCTAGTACTTCAACTCCAAAAAGTACTCTAGATTGTCGTACCTCTAATAACTTCCGTGCCTGTAATGGATTGACTCTGTACAGTTTTTGTCGGACATCCGTAGACTTCCCCCGGTTTTGTAAATCACAGAACAAAACATTTTGTTTCAAAATAGTATTTAGACGTTTTGTAGTAGAATTTTTGTAACAGAAAATTATTGTTCAGTCAAAAAAATCTAGAAATGCTAGTAATTTCAAGATCATCAGTACCTCAATCGTTTTCTTCGGACGTCACAAAACATGTTTCAACAGTTATTAAGATTTTTCTCGTGTTAACAAAAATTCGATAAAGCCCAGGTCAACACGGTCTGTCATTTAGAGGTACACCACATCTCACTGGGTAACTTTTATTTACTTCGCCACTGGGCGAGGAAGTATTGTAATCGTGAAAAATTTTGAAAATGAGATATGTTTTTGGATTTTATGTGACATGTACATAACGAAAAACCACTTACTCCTTTCTGTCTGTCTGTCGGTGGAGTCTCTAACTTCAAGGTACTTCACGAATTTTGATGAAATGTTTACACAATGCCAAGAACAAAAAAGCTTCCTAATTTTGAAAATTAGTCCAGTGGCGGCAAAGAAAACGTCCAGCTTCGTTTTTTGACGAAAACATTTTTTAGGGGTTAGAATTAGAGGTTGGAGGCTGCAGGCGGAGAGGAGGGTATATTTAAATTTTTTGATTTTAGTATAATTATGGTTTCCCCATACATTTGTCTTTAAAACTCAGAATGATGGAGAAATCTTCTCGACGCGTGTTGCTTTCTGCTATCTGGGCGTAACAGACTGCTTGTTTGTTCTGCTTGTACTGTGGCGGTGCTTCTGTGGGAGCTGCCGCGTCTGACGATATGGGGAGGGGGAGCGTTGCCAGATGGATGGTAACTATACCGGTAGGGCAGGGAAAGAATGTCTGTGGACTAGTTGTATCGACCTGTTTGACTGACTTGATCCGTCTAATTTCTCTATTCTACATGTTCGTGGCTAATGCTTTTCTCATAGGGCCTAACTTGTGCTGAAATTGACGCCATTTGCTCATTAAACGTCGAAGTTGGCACACAGAAGAGTTGTAGAAGATGAAAATTCCTTTAAAATGAGAACTCATATGTCCAACTTGCTACACCGGTTATGTTGCTAGACAGCTGGTAAGCAATGACGATAGTCAAAAAAATTAGTAGCAAAGATCCATTTAGGAGATATTTTCATACTCTACAAACTTACTTTGGAGTAGTTTCACAAATACTTCATAGTTTTCCTAATGCCTGATATTTTCTGAACGGTTAATACCAAAAAAGTTACCCAGCAGCATTTTTCGTATATCTATATGAAAAACCGTTTCTTTTCGTTCAAGAGAATAATTCTTTTATAAAAACCGTCCATACGCTTTTTTCCGAAATACTAGACATCTCAATCTATACTGGAATCAGGAAAAGGTAAGGATTACTTTACATCTACTGCCAAACAGAATGAAAAGAATTTCCTTTCACTTCCTCGTCCTGTACGAATCTTTGTTGAAAAACTTTATTTATGATTTATCATAGGGCAAGCCAAGAACTTTAAGTGACCTTTGAGTGGTGATAAACATAAATAAATTAGGCATATTCAATCATCTGTTTCTGGTAGTTGCAGTCGTAACCTAGCAACAGCAGGTATTTGCCGTGACCACAGGCATTTTTACTGTAAAAAGCCACTGGGCTCAAAAATGCGGACATAATGCTCGGAAAATCGATGCATAAAATATAACTTACCGCCTGTAATTAAAGAAAATAAAGTATTGATGAGGGCGTTAAAGTGTAACATTCCGAGCGTTAATTCCTAGTTTTCAGCCTATGGGAAAGTAACCACGCATATATCCCATTATCCCACTGGGCACGTAAATAACTAAAATTAGACATACACTTTAAATGCACCCCGAAAGTGGACAAGCGAAAACGCAAATATACCATTTTTAGATAATAAAAGAAGAACAAATACCCTACATTTTTTTAACTACATGCCCCAAAAATTAATGGTTTCATTTTGGTACTGAAATCGGCCTTGTTTGGATTAAGGTAAGCCCTAACCGTTTATTCCTCTATTTCATCCTGTCTGAAATATGAGGGGTCATTTGTCAGGATCCTGCGCGGCACAGATAGTTGTTGAAAATGACCGCGATTATAGTGGACAGTGCTAAATATCTTACGGAAAGGGGATATGGGATTAAATACAAAACAAGGGAGGAGGTTCACAGTTTGTGATGCCTCAAGTTCGGTTATTATTCTAACAAGTAATACACATACACACATAAGACGCCCTGTTATGTGCATGGAGTAACATATTTACTCGTACTATACTGAGAAAACATGATCAGTTAAACAGTTGCCCTGGATACTTTTCATTCAAATTATTTAATAAGTTTAGGTAATTTAGTTATGTGAAAAGGTACATTCAGAACAAGGAAAACAGTTCCACCATTTATTTGAATTTCGGACTCAGCAGGACTCGGCAGGGCTCGGCTCGTCATTGGTAAATGATCGGTAGTATGTGACAGACGTAATGCCGGTGACGCGCTTCGAATTCCTCAGCTTCATATGTGATTTTCGCGAGGTGCCTCGTACTCGAATGTTGCCGTTGTTGGTGTACCAACTGTGAAATGGATCAATCATGGTGATCAAGTGAAATACTAGAGAAGAAGGTTAGAATATTTCACGCTCCCAATAAAACACTCTGTACTGCTAGTCATGACGGAATGGAAAGAGCTTTGAAATTTAATTTATGCAGCCATCCTTAGAACAATGAAGGGGGGGAGGATTGATGTGCTTTTATTTTATATTTTATATGGAAAATGGAGCCTCCTGTTGGTGCAGACTTTGTAGTATTTGGGAATATGATAGTTTGTTTAGAGTCGAGTTTATATATATATATATATGTAACTGCGTTGAAAGCGGGTAAATATAATATAGTTTGATTATTAGAATTAAAAGTAAAATTGTTCAGCTTAATGCATTATTTTCTCTAGTTTCTGAATTTAAAACAAATCATTGGTTCTAGTGAATAGTGATATAACCTGTTTCTGAACCATCAGACAAATAATTAGTAAAACTTGGTCCCAAATATATTAAGTTCATAACCAACAAATATGAAAAATTTCGAATTTCGTTAGCAGTTTTTATTTTTGTTCAAAATCAAGTTTTTAAGTCTTTTTAAGGTTTAAGATTTGTCAGAGTACAGTTACATACATTATTTAGTGAAATGTAATTTGTACTTTTAAATTCCAAATATTATCCTAATATACTTCTAAATCTGGATAAAATAGGCAAATACTTCTGAACTAATTAAAGAAATTTAATAAATATAATTAAACTGTTTTACTTGGAGCAGGTAAATGCAAAACTTCATTAATTTTAATTAATTGGTGTACTCAATCTAAATAAATGGCTGAACAAATCTAATTAAATGATTGTGTTTTGGATTAATTAAGCTAGTTTCATATCTTCAACCAAACTGTTTTAGCGATCGGAGAATAATTAAACCAATCAAACCTGTTACATTATTCAATTGACTTAATCAAAATTTAAAATTCGTTTCCTTAATTTATTTTCTTGGTGTACAAATTTTATAATTTCTCCATCAGGTAACTTGGAGACCGCCAACAAGCTAATCACCTTGGGAGCTTATACAAACATCCTGAACAACAAAGGTCAAACCCCATTGCACGTGGCTTGCCTACATGCACAGCTTCCTATTGCAGAATTGCTTGTTAAAAATGGCGCAAATATCAATGTCACAGACTTTTCTAAGGAGACTCCCGTTTTCAAAGCTGTCAGAGGTCAGTATCACTACTATTAGAAAAAAAATATTGTAACTTCTAATGAGATTTTGAATTTGAGATCAACCGACTAAAAAATAATTTGTTATGCAGTATTTTTTAGAAGGATGATGATAAAACCGAAACTTGTTTTTCTTCGACACGTAGCGTTGGCTGGCATAATGCCTGTTGTGATTATACAGGGTGTCCCAGTATTCCGTTTACATAGAGGCATGGCGTATCTTTAGACTCAAAATAAGTCGACTGGACATAATTTACCTGTATGCAAAAGGGTGGACATTACCTACACCCCTACATAGATTATAACAATTATTTTGCAATTATTTTTTTTTATTTAAAAAATCATTTTATAAACTTGATATTTTGTTTCGTTATTGATGGACTCACAAGGAACCTAACCTAACAATGATTGATTTTAGACAACAAACAGCTTTGCGTTAGCAAACTCAGATCGCGCTAGTATCTAAGACTGATAAAACTACGGACGTAACATTTGTTCAGCGATTTTTTAATGAAATTACAGGTGGCAATAAAAATCTCACCAAATTCATCTTGAGCAAAGGTGCCATCGTTAATAGATATAACAAAATCAACGAAGGATTGTTGCACTTGGCTGTTATGCATGATGACATAGAGCTAGTCAAGCTACTTTTGGACAACGAGGAGGATCCAAATGAGCTTACAAATGCAGGTAATTATTTGTAGATTCATTTGTATTTGTCCCTTAAGAGATAACACCACTGTAACGGCGTAAGGAAAAAGTATTAATTTGTCATTTTCTTGTAGAAGAAATGGCCATAACATTGGAGGAGGTTATTGAGCATATATTTAAGAATCAAAAAAGAATATTATCATTATATGGCGTCAAGGACGTTGACTCTGTACTTCCTACTTCTTACGCCAGATGACAATGACAATTCGATGGACGTACTGACTACGCAGTGGATTTAATTTTTAGGTGAAGCTCCTGTACATCTCGCTGTTCAGCATTACAACCTTCCCGTACTAAGACTACTGATATCAAGAAAGGCTGAAACCACAATCAAAGACTTCAATAATCGTACTTTGTTACATTTAGCTGTTAAATATAGGAGTACAGAAATATGTGAAGAGCTCTTGTCCACTGGTTTGGACGTGAATGCTGCAGACAGGGGTAATTAGATTTTGAATCACGGCTTTAAGATAATTTACTTCAGCCCTTGATTAAGTTTTTTGTCAGTTAATACTTATTTTTCGTCGCTCGAGGAATACTTCTTAAGAAAGAGAAGAGCTGCAAATCTTATTTCGTTTAGCATAATCCAGTTTCCTACCCTTGTCAGAGATCTACGCATCTCGCTTATTCGATTCTTCCTCAAATGGCATTAGATGTGCCAAGGAGCTTGTTCATTTCATTCACATTGCGTCTTAAGTATTTGATCACTCTCGCGTATTTATGGAGCTGTCATTGGCAAAATACTTCGCATTTCAACTTTAAAATACCAAATTCCTAGCGATCATAAGTTGTGAGCGAAGATGTAACAGGCTTGATCAATAAATAAAATTAATTTCATTAATTAAACATTTTTGAATAATATGGAAATCAAGCTACAAAACGATAATGGACCATGATTCTCAATACCACGTTATTTGGATAAGACTCATTTTCTGTCCGACGATGTCCATGTCCACTTCCCGAATTTATCTCAAAATGGGCGCCAGCATTGTATTCAATTTGTCATAAGTCTTCCGACATAGTAACGAGCAAACTTCATCGATTGGCCGAGCTTGTGGTACATTAGGGGGTTATATTCTTTTGGTATATACGTAATCTTATTCTGTCCCAACCATTCTCGAGCTCTAGTAGCATAATGGAATGTTACGAGGTCTGGACAAAATATTATATCTGAATTCTGATTATGGGTGTTAATAAAATTAAGCAGGTTTTGGTCTATATCTCGGCTTCCACACCTTCTCCTCGAGCTCGACCAATATGGGGTACCGAAACATCAGCATCAGAAATCGATCACCAGACTAGAAAGCTTGCCAGAAAATTTCGGGTTTTCTTTAAATGTTACTTCATTTGGAAAACTTTTAATATTCGAGCAGAATACTTTTCATCATCCATTATAATCTCGAAATTTCTCACAAAATGCCTCAAAACCATGCAACATTCAGGTATTTGGGACACATCCTTCATTTCCTATTCGAACAAGCTCGTCACTTTTAGCCAAAGCTATCTACACGATTTTGTACGAGACTCTAGGCTAGAATGATGGTATTGTTTCCGGCTAGATAGTCAACTATGCTTTAAGCGTTTCCTACCAACCTATTATGACGCCCTCGTATAGCTGTGACGTAGAGCGGTCTCGCGACGTCAACCTTAGGCAACCAGAGTTACGCGACCGGGCGTCAGCGCTTGCAGGAGGCACCTGCTGCCATCTAGACCACTTCCATGGAAGTTCGCGGAAACGCTGGAATGTAACTCCGTTCGTCTATAGGAAAATAAATATCCGACCAGATGGCGGAACGAGGCAGTCACAGTCGAGTCTACAGACACAGTCGAGCAATCGACAGCAAGCGATGACTCACCACACACACTTAGTCATTTAGTACAAGTGTTATAAACTAGTGAAGAAGTAATATATCAGACGTTGGACAGAAAACAGGTTTTTCAATTAAGCTGTCAACCCTGTATTGTGATAAAACGTGGGGTTCTTTAGTTTTCAGCAAACTAATGCAGTGTATACCATATAACATTTCAATGGACTTGGACTTGACGGATTTTCAGGACCAACTTTGTTTCCAGATTTTTGTCCCATGCGTTATTTAACCGTCAATGAGTCATTCTTGGAGTACCAGGAAATTTCATGATCATCATTTTTCTCATTCACTTAGTTATTTCACAAATGTTTGTATCGTATCAATCTCCTTGGAAAGCCGGTCTGTAAAACTCATCAACTTAATTCTTGATTTCCAACAGAAGGTACAACCCCACTACATTTGGCCACGGAACTCAATGATGCACCGATGGTTTCACTGTTGATTGATAACAAAGCGTACCTTAATATGGAAGATATGGATGGATACACTCCTTTGCACGTAGCAGCTGGTACACGCGACAGTCTGGAAATATTGAAGATCTTAACTGCCAATGGTGCCAAGTGTGATGCAAAGAACTTCAATGGGGACCTGCCAATCCACGTTGCTGCAGGTTCAGGTAAGATTTTCTTGATGACGTTTCTGAAAATTAGGTAAATAGGCGCATAGAATCAGTGCCCACCTCCTTGACCAGGTCGGTATTCTAAGTCTCAACTGTAGCTTTTAAGCAGATTTTTCTAAGCTAGTAAGTCAAAAGTAGTTTTAGTTGACTGGTTTCTTACAGGAAACATTGAAGCATTTATATTCCTCTATAAGAAGAGCGAATCAGGTGCAACTAACAAAATTGGACTAACCGCCACACAAGTGGTTGAAATGAACGGAGATCCTGTGATGTTGCGTCTACTCGCAGAGCTGGACCGGAATAACAATAGTGGGATTCCAGTTCCTGTACTAAAAATACCACGTAGGTCCAGACGTAGATCCAGCAGTGTACGATTCAGTTTAAACGCTACATATGTCAAGGACTGAGTTGAAAAATTATCATCCATGTTGGTCCAACCTATATTAAAATCAACACGATATGTTCTAGAATATTAATCTTGATTTAACTATTTTTTTTGGTATTCCTATAAAGTTATAATGCATTCCTTATTGATTTTGTTATTCGCCTATAATGAAATAACATTTAGTCCAGGAAGTATCTTCGCATCCGCTCAGAAAAATATTCTGATTCGGTTTCTTTTGCACAACCTTATACAAAAAGGATTCCTTTCAAAGAATTTGCATTTTGCGATACATAAAAATGTGAAAAATAAATGTCTGAACTACTTTTCGCTCAGGATAAAGCCTTAGATAATAATAATAGACGTCTTTATTTCTTTACAACATTGTAGTTCAGCTAATGGCGAAATTTAGCGTTTACTACTCTTACATTTAACCACAAAAGTCACTCGCAGATGTTGATAATTTAGAAACATTATTCACAACAAATTTAAATATTTATTCATAAATTCTTACAATAAAGCCAAAACGGGCATACTTTCTAAAGCAAAGTAGAAAAGCAAAGACATAATTAGGAGAGTAAAATAAAGCATGACTGTGTAAGCAATCTTTCAGATTTGATCAACTAGCCTATTGTACGATCAGTTTGGGTGCCTAGGAAACTGGTAGTTACATGCCAGTTATGTAACTATGAAGTATTTGCAGAACTTGTATACTTATTTGTAGGTTCATACTATGTGTCTTGCAAACTGCAGAATTTTCGAATCATTTAATATTCCTAGACATGCTTCGTATTTTATTGCAATTGCGGTAATGCCAAGATCTGGGAATGAAGGTATAGTCCAGTTAGTTGGAACTAAATAAAACTTCAAGACGCTACACGTTTCCTCGTGTAACGCTAACAGAGAACTTCACTTAATGTGATGTAACTTCTCTATCTGATATTTCGTAGTAAAACGCAATAATTTAGAGGTTTTGAAAGATCGAGTTTATCAGACTATTACTTTGTCACACAAAATAAATCACAACTGCATTTTAAATTCTTTGTTCAAATGAAAATATGGGATTAATTAATTCCTACCATCCACGCGGGGTTGGCCATCGCAAAGATCTTGTGTGCCCCCAAAATTACTCTCAGTGGAAGGTGGTTAACTTGTGCCTAATCTTTTGCGAACTGATGACAGCGTTGCGTGTCAGTTACAGACGCCGTTTTTGTATGCAAACTGTTTGTGATGTAAAAGACAATGGTGAGTGGCAATGAAAAGCAATTTGCGTTATGCGACCGACACTGTGCTACTCTCAGAAGATTGATAAACGTTCACTGATTGCGACGTCAGTATTAACAAAGAGAGTGTGCTTAAATTGAATGTTAAAGAGATCAGAACAAAGATAAACAGCAAGAACAATAACGAGAACGCGCGATTCAGTGCAGAATATGCCTTAAGCACAATGAGTAGAAGCTTCAGTTGTCATGGCCGTCATCTAAAGAAGAAATGGGACCACAATAAAGAAGCTAAATTACTAATTGAGAAAGTACAAAATCCGCTCTACAGAATGTTTTTTGTAATCTATAACTTAAGTTACAACTTAAACTGCGTGTGTTGTGATCTTATGTGTTCTCTATACTTCACTGTGGTAAAGGAGCATGGACGTTGACAGACACCACAAAGTGGCCTCAATTTTTTAAACGCTTTTGACGCTCAGTGCTCTAGAACACCAAACATGTGGCAAACATACAATTTCTGTGGCGCTTATACAATTTTCAGCACAACAGGCTTTTTGGGCTCACTGATTTTAATATAAACTCAGTTTGCCCCTATTAGGGCAGTCGAAGGTCGCTACAAGGTCGTATCAAGAATATTTTCTAAAAAGCCGGGCAGTTGAACCTAACCGCGCGTCGCTGAAGTTTTTCTGGTTACTAAGTCCGAATCGGAAGTGAATTAGTAACCATGAGAGCATTTGAATGTAGTTTCGAGGTCACAAATATTGTATCTATATCACGTTGCAAATAATACAGCGTTGCAACAGAACAATGGCTAAAGATGAGGAGGTGCTTGGCCGAATTGACAGAGGACATATACTTAGAGGTGATAAATATAAAATCCTGCAGTTAGTTTTGCAACGCATTTCAGGCAAACGGAGTCCATGACGAAGACGTAGCCCATGGCATGGAAATCTGCGGTCACCTCCGTATAATTATTTAGATCAGCGGTCAATAAGGTAATGCGCGCCAGCATGATCCTCAACATCCACCGAGTAGCTGTTTTCCGCCTAAATAACCGCAGACAGTGTTATTTGGTGCTCATTAACAACTCATCAGTACGGTATAGGTCTAGTCTTGGAGGCAGACGAATGGAAAGCAAATAAGTGCGTGTGGTCCTCTAAAAAACTCAACATCTTGTGCGCAATTTGGTAACGAATGCCACCTGCCAATGGCTTGCCAGGCTGAATTTCTTCTTCATTCCATCCGACGGAGATGACCGAGGACCCTCACGTCTTCTGGCTCATAATTGCCCGACGTTGTGCACATTGCACAGAAGGTGTCGCACCACCAATTCACGATAGACGTTAGAACACCAAGTATTTGACAGCAACTCAGCAATGGCGTTGTATGCTCATTCGCATTTATAGACAGGCTGAAAAGGACACGCTGCTTGCTCTCTGACTCTGAAATCACGAACAACCGCAGACTGCGCTGTTTTGTGCTCATTAGCAACTTGTGCTCCAGATTTTGCTCCAGCTGTTGAGTTTTGACTTGTTTGCTTTATGTTTGTCTATCTCCAAGACTAGACCTATACCGCACTGATGAGCCGATAATCACCACAAAATAGCGCTGTCTGCGGCTGGTCATGTTACAGAGATGGAAAGCAAACATGTCCTTTTCAGCTTGTCTATTTATGCGTATAAGCATAGAAATAGACTAATCATATTAGCAAATTTCCCCTAAATAATTGTATGGTCTGGTTTTATTGGTGCAAGTTGTATTTAAAATATGGACGCATAAAATGGGTACACCAGTTTTTGTGGGAAAACTTATTATTCGACAACAAAGAATGAGAAAACGTGTTTTTTGGGATTCAATCGAAAGGGTTGACAGGAACGAAAAAACTTTCCATTTATCATTTTCAGGTGTTTATGAGACCTACAAAATGAGATCACGCGTAAAAGGATCCGACTAATAGCAAAAATGTTATGGCCAAAAAACGAGCAAAATGCAGGTTTTGGCACTTGGTAATGCGACAATAATTTTGCACAACTACTTGAAATTCTTCAAATCTGTAGGATTCATACTTCTAAATAACAACAACAAAATTGGGGTATGTTGGTCGAGTAGTTTTTTAAGAATTTCTCATTGTTTATCCCAAAACACCTGTTTTCCGGCCATCTCTACTAGTTTATTCACCAGTATACAGGGTTTGTTCAGATAGCATTTAATAGCAAAATATACGCGTTTACCTTGCCGATATGAATCACAAACCATTGCGAAAGATAAATGTTATTTTTATGCGAAAAACGAAGGTTACGTTTTTTCTTCTAAACAAACTCAGACGTTTCATATTTGTGAGTAATTGAACAAATGCGCTACGATACTCGAAAATCATACGTTATCAGACACATTTCAAAACAAAGCGGATAGTGTTTATCATCTTTTGTTGCGATCTAGGGAATACGAAATATTTGAATTTGTTTAGAAGGAAAAACATAACCCATCCTTTTTTGCATAAAAATAACATTTATCTTCCGGATAGGTTTGAGATTCGTATCGGGAGGGTAAACTAGTGTATTTTGCTATAAATTTTCGTCTAATATGATTAGACTAAAAGCGATTGCCGGTGTCTTCAGTAAATAACGTACATCAATTGAGTATATGATACCAGAAGAGGATTTTGTTCAACGGTCCTACGTATCTCTTTGCCTGACATGCATTGCTTCTGCTGTTTGCAGGCGAACCCTTTATACTAGCATAATGTTCCCGAGCCAGAGTGTGATCTGCATGTCAATGGGAATATCTCCAAATCCCGAATGGCATTTCCAAAAGGTGAAGCACATGCTCGGGTGACTGCACTAAAACACGAACACGAAGGGAATTTGATGTGGAAATATTTGCAGCGCCATGCCGCCGTCACATAAGATTTATAGCTTTCTCTCTTTATCCTCTACATTAAGGAGTTTTATTCACTTCGTACCCTGTCAGCCGGTTCCTCTGACGATATTTCAAAACACAGAAGGGTCGCTCTCTTGAGCACTAAGGTGCATTTATCAGTCTTTCAATTCGTCTAAAGCTCACTTGAAAAAGAGTTATCGTGAACCTTTCCTCTGGCAGTGTATTGTGCCCAAAAAGTCGTACAGTCAGAGCATGCACATCTAATGCCAATTTTATTCCCGTAGAGATCACAGGATCTCCGAGCATCAGAATTTTGCAAGTGTTATCTGTACTCTAACTAATATTTAATGTGACTCAATATGTTATTCCTGCAAACTTTAAACATATCAAATATAAAAAAAGTTTAAAAATTATGGATCTTAAGTAAACCAAGGCTAAAAATCCATAAGTTTGTATACATTAAAAACCAGTTGTTGTATTAATATAATTCAATATCGGTCAAAATCCAAGCACAAGTGTACACTTTTTTAGGTATATTATAATTATTGGACACTGCCGTTATTATTTATACGAAAACTTTGTAGTTAGACCAATAAACACTCTTATTAACATGATGAGTAATCTTGAATTAAAATTGTTGCGTGCAGTTTTGAAAAATCACATTTCGAGGAAAATGCCGCGGTGCCACCATTTTTGAATACTTATACAGGGTGTTTCACAACTTATCCGACAAACTTTAACGACATATTTTATTCACTGTTATGAAAGAAGTTGATTTCTAAAAAAAAAAATGTAGATAATAAAAGTCCTACAGAAATCGAGATAATGAGATAATACAGCTTAACAGTTCACTTACT